TGGGTAATTGTTACCTTGGAAAATAAATTTCAGCAGGACCTCCGTTCGAATAAATCACAAGGTCTAAAAATAGAATCCACCCATAAGAAATTAATGTTCTTCGAGGTAAATGAGGATAGTCTTAAAATCGTCAGACAACTAAACAGAACAGAAGATATTTGAGCAAGACGACATATTTTAAATTATGTACATTGATTAATTACATGATGTTCAGTAATTATGCAAGCCCGGTAATTTATGTTGTACTAAGACCTTGAATGAACCCAACAGAACTTTCATGTAATTTGATAGAAAAAAATATAAAAGAAAAGCAAATTTGTAATAAGTGCTTAGAAATTTATAATAAATGAATATAATGATTAAAATAATCACAACAAACTAGATAGATAACATAGATACCTAGATAGTTAGCATAGATAGCATAGCATAGATAGCATAGATAGCATAGATAGTTAGCATATATAGATAGCATAGATAGTTAGCATAGATAGATACATAGATAGCATAGCTAGATAGCATAGATAGTTAGCATAGATAAAATAGTTGAAATAGATAACTAGATAGCATAGATAGTATAGATAGATAGATAGCATAGATAGCATAGATAGCATAGATAACATAGTTAGATAGATAACATAGATAGCATAGACAGATAGATAGATAGCATAGCATAGATAGCATAGCATAGATAGCACATATGTTATCATAATATGATAGCATAGATAGATAGAAGGAAAAATAGATAAATAGAAAGATAGATAGCATAGCGTACTTAAAATTATACTATGTTTTATACATAGGTAAATAAATGTGTTCACGTGTGTCCCATGCAAGAAGTTAATGCGGAACAATCCCAAATGTACTAAAAAATGTTTTTGAATCGCACAATACACATTGACAAACATGTCTATTACTGGAGTGGCTGGTACGACAGGACAGGGCGTCCAGACGTCGCATTTTTATAATAAAACGCGTGAAAGATAGCTTCTATTGAGATCTAAATAAACTGGTAAAGCCCATATTTAGACAACAAACCGTTTGATATTTTCTGAAAAACTGGTAAAATATTATAACAAATAAGGAAATTTCTAAAAACAATAAAAGGCGGGGTGGTGTACTTTATATTTTGTTCCGAAGATTTGAAAATAGCTCGATTTTAGTTAAATATACCTACATCAAAAGATGCAAGTTCAACTTCAAAGTCGATTGTTACTTCAAGGCAAGATGATTTATGTTTAAAATAAAATGTTAAAACTTGGTTTTAAAATGGGATAAAGAAGAAAGGTGACGTATAATATGTTGGCCGCCTATTTCTATATGATACCATAAATTTATAATAATGACATTTACTGTTTCTTTACTCTGTAAATTTTAACTTCATTTTAAACTTCAACTCTCTAATGGGCAAATAATACACGTAGTAAATCCTTCATATGCATCAAGAATTTCATTTAGATTTTTTTTTTTAATTTGAATGAAGGTGAAATTCCAGTGACATTGATATTATGGACAGTATAGTTATTGTGAAATTTATAATAAACCCTCAGACTGCTTATAATAACATATACAGAGCGTATACATTGACAAATTTTGTAAAATAATCATCGAAGTGATGGAACTTGTTTCGAAATGTAGACATAATATAAGTTCTACTTGTACATTGTACAACTTAAGGAGGGGCACCGGCTGAAAGATCTGAAGATCCATAGCATAAAACTTTGAGTAACAATACGATTCAAGTTCTGTTTTTATATTTCTATTTATAAGTAATAAATTTTTCAGAATCCATGCAGAATGCACTATTTTTGTTCCCTTTGGTAGTTTCGTGGTTAATAGTTATTTGTACGAGATGAATAATTAAAATAAATAATGTTATAATATAACACATAATTCAACATATAGCACATAATAGAACACATGTTACACATAACATATAACACATAGCACATAATGTAACACAAGTTACACATAACACATAATATAACACATACAAAAACACATAATAGAACACATGTTACACATATACTTTAACCTATAACACATAACATAACACATAATAGAACACATGTTACACATAACACATAATATAACATATAACACATGTCAAATGTTACACATGTGGCAATTCGATACTGTTGCAAAATCTATGGTTCATATCAGCTTGTAGAAGGAAAAATACATAGGATAGCGTTACTAAGCATGATTACTTTTTTTTTAGGGATTGTGGATAAACTTTGTTAATTAATATAGTGTAATTAGGGTAAACGTGGAATTTCAATGGAACAGAAGAAAAAAGTGGTTGAATCCGTTGGTTTATTTATATATTACAAATATATTTTATCGGGTGTTCGCATCCCTCAATGCTTGATTCAAACTCTTATGTTTTCTTACCTTTATAAAACGTACTAGCATGGTGAACAGATAGTAACAGAACTGCTATACGACTAAAGCACTGGAAATACATAGCTAGTAGAGGTCGATAAACTGAAGGAATTGGGAGACGTTTCAATATTTATACTCTACAATTACCGCTGGTTGCAAATCATTCAGTTAACATATCCTGAAATTTCATTCAAAACCTTATCGAAAATTGTATGACGTTGGACAAATTTGACTTATGAATATACATGTGCTTATAATTGATGGTAATTTCCTCTTAGGCAGAAATAAAACTCCGAATTTAAAACTTATCTGTCAAATGTGTGACTTAAGTGTGAAATTTGAATGAAAAAATGGTTAAATTTTATATAAATATCTATAAGTAATACATTAGAGCTGTGAGTTTTTTTGTTTTTTTTTTTTTCTTATGTGAACAATACTGACTTTTCTAATAAAATACTGAAGTAAATTAAAAAAGTTATCAATTAATGTAATAGATTGTGGTTGATTAACAAATAAGCTTTTGTTGTTTTCTTTTAGTACTTTACAAAAAAGTCAAAAACAGTGCTCAATGAAATCTTTTTTCGGCAATGGTAGGCTACTACACCGAATATTATCAAAAAAGATGTCTGTTATTGAGTTTGTATAGGATGTTGGTTTTTCAAATAACCCCGCCAGAGTAACTGTATATAAATATTGCCAATATTGTTCATCGTGATATACAATGTATTTCTACTATATTTCCGGTAGGCTTTAACATCCAGTCCGCATTTGATGACAGAGATATAGACCATTCGGCTCAACCTTCGCCAACCTTCGTTAGTTGAACTGAAGTAAAAGCGAATGGAATATAGACATCGATAGAGATCTTATACCACGAGTAGCAACCTAAGAGAAAACAACAAAATAAAAGAGATTGCAAAGACGTTTTCTGAACTTTGTATGTGTATCAAGGAGACTAATGGCATCGTTTGCTCTATTCTTTCACATTACAAATTTTTTCAGCGTTTGCGAGTCACATCATATACAGTCAGACATTTATATAATTACAGGAACCACAGACATTTGATGGGAAGTTGGAATTGGTAAATAGAAGCTACAAATTGCTAATTTACAAAAGAAAAAGAGACCCACGTCGCCTCCTAAACTAATGGCCTCAAAACTGAAGTCTTTTACCACCTCGACTTCAAAGCCGCAGGTAATCTTAGCCACCCCTTGATACATAAGGAACAATTTGTCTAATTAATCTTATGACGGTTTTAATGACTCTAAATAATGACAGGTATCTAATGTGTAAATCAAAGAGAAAAACTGCAGGTTAGGATAGTTCAACAACCTTTCTTATCCCTAATTAACCCTTCAACGACACTAGAGCCTGTCGTCAGTCCAATAGTTCACTCATTAATTAGCCCCCTCAACGGCATTCTTTAACAAGCAATATAATAGGACCCAAAACCTGCACTTTTTTTTAAAGTTTGACGCAAGTATTTGGCTACTAAATATTGTATAAGCTTAGGATTTATTGCTTCATCTTAGCTATAGATCATTGGAAATTGAGACGTCGCCAAGAATTTGACTGAAGATACATTTTTATGTCCATTTTTGCATAAAATTATAAAAAAAAAATTGACAGGTACAAAGACAACGCATCCTGTTGTTGATGTGCGTCAGGGATTACGCTATTTGCGTCCGATATTTTGGATCAAATGAAATTGAAGCAAATAAACGAGGTAGTGCATTGTCTATTTAGTCAAAAGCGAGTTGAGATATCTCTTTCTAGTCCTGACTGTGACATTTTGCAATCTTAAGACGACCAAAAAATGTATTGACGGAAACGCGAAGAAAACTCGAGAAAAAACTTTAAAATTTTTAAAAAAACTGCTACTTATGCGATTATATTGCGTTCAAGTTGCTGGTTTGTAATAAAAGTTGTCGCCATAGTCGCCAATATTTGCCGAGCCAAGGAGTTTAATTGGGCATTTATTCAGCGTTCCATAGAATCGAGAAGGTCGCCAGACAAGCGTTGTATCATCTCCTTGAGCGGTAAATATACGCTGTGCACGCGAGGCAAAGGCGCTTCAGAAACGTAAGAATTTACGCATTACTCCCTGTTTTTTTAGTTGTAATTTTTTAAGGATTTTTTTCTAGTTTTTCTCATGTTTGACTGCGACTATCACATTTCATATCGCTGTAAAATGTGATGGGATTATAAACGGACATTTCCGATCTCAATGGCGATTATTGGTGATCGTGCGCCTACCGTACGGATATGTGACGCTTCCTACACGCCGATACCACGCTTACGAGGACCTTAACGCGGTCTGAGCTAATTTTTCGTCGTCGTAGCCCCAAAGGCATGTTTTTCAGGCAAAAATCTCATAACTAGGTTAGAAAGTCGGGCAACCTCAGGTATTTGAAAGTAATGAAAATGAGTCATTTTAATTCAAGTTGTTAGGCCTGATTTACATCAAAATTATGGAGCTTTCTATTATTGAAATATGTTGTTAAACCCAAAACTTATAAGATACTGCAGAAACGAAAAGAAAAACCGAATTTAGTATGAAGTGTTGCTCTCATTCAACTCATTTAACTCAGCCGACTCAAGAAGTCACAATACTTGATGGATTTTCACAAATCTTGGTGATTTTATTTACAAAATATTGTCAAAATTATTTACAATAAATATAGTCAAAGTTAAATAATACAATATACAATATATACAAGAAGTATATTGAAATTTATTTGCACATATTTAAGTATGCATCTAATAAATAACGAACTTTTATAACTAATAAACAAACAAGTCATACATTCATATAGTCCAACAAATCTAGACCGACCCAGTTCCTTCGACGTGATATTCGTGTGGGATATCGGAACTGGGTCATCCGAATATCACGGGTAGGGCTAGATTTATTAGGCTAATATTCATATAAATATAAAATACAGCAATGAAAGTAGAAATAAAGTAACATAATGGGGATCGCTCATATTTACCTTTGTTAAATTATTTTACCTTCCAATTAGAGGTTTTAAATAACGGAACACAATTTTATGGCATACTACTCCTTACTTGTATTGTATACAGCGTTTCAACAATCTACATTGTACAAAAAACCAAGGAGTATTTTACCATAGCATCTCTTCTCCTAAATATCGATTTAGGATTATTTAAAGGTTTGATTGAGCGTTGGGTGGTGGATATACTAAACATTATAAGTTAAAATAGTATATCTACCTTACAGCTGATCTGATTGATGAAAGGGTACAGGGAATAAAATAAAAGTCCTGCAAATTACAATGTAACTCAATGAACAATTTCAAAACATGAACAAGAATACCCCTGATGTAAATAATTATATTTGCACGATTTGTACATAGTCAATATGACTATAGTCGCTAAATAAGATTACTGGACAACTTAAAAAAAATTCTGATGAATATAATTTTATTACTGTGGTCTGATATTCGTTTATTATGTGGTTTTCTCCCCTGAGTTGCAGGGCATTGTGGGAAGTCAAATCATTTGGAGAAAGACTGGATGCTTCATGTTATTCGATCGTGAAACTTTATTTTAATATCATTCAACACAAAAAGACAGCAAGAAGTATAACTTTTAGTTTTGGTCAATCACAAAAATAGATTTTAAGTTTTTAGTTTCATTATCCAATCCGATTACTGTATATCTCTTACTTAAGTTTTCGAGAATAAGGCGCCTGGTGTCACAAGTAAAAAGAAGAAAAAATGAAGAAAAAACAGATGTTAAATAAAAGAATAAGAGATTAAGTTAAAAGAATTGAACTAATTATAAACGAATAGCAGCGATAAGGGAGGTAAGCATTAACCCCAATCCTTTCAATGATGATGCACTGTTAATATTATGACTAGAATATACTTTACGACTGTGTAGCAGTTGAACTGGACGGTAGTTGTTCTGTAAATTTATTGTGTTGTTTTGACCGTCAACTTCAGATGAAAGCATGTCTCTGAATTTGGCCATCTAAAAATATAAAGTATCATTACAAATGACTCATTACTGAGAAAACATCAAAATATCTGAAAACATCTTCACAATGTATTAATTCTCTATCGTATATCCTGACTGTCGTGTTTCAGGATCAATATTTTGCGTTGGATTGCGGTATCATTTTGCGGTTGGGGTCGTCTGAAACGCTATACAGACTGCTGACATAAAACTCAATCAACTTGGTAAAGCACATATAGTACAACATATTTTCTAAAACGGTAAAACTTTGGATTCTTTATAAAATAATTTTGTTTGAGTCGTATTTTTTATAATACATATCAGTCGACCAGCAAATCTCAAGTACTTTACCAAACGTTATCCTGACTCGACAGCTAGTATTAAAACGGGGGTTAAATTCCCAGTAATCTGCGTGTGAATCTCGGAGAGAGAAATCAGGCTGACAAAATAGTCGCAGAATGTCATCATGCGTTCTAACAAGAACAGTAGACTGATTTAACTGTAGAGGAGATCACACTTTTTCAAACAGAAAGACCATTTACCTGGCTGCTTGAGATTTTAATGGTGTCTTCGAATACAGTCCACACGACAGTTTCAGAGCATGGTGGGGTGGTCAAACTACCAGAATATCTGTAGAAATTAGCCAACTTGCTGGGCAATAAATCTTCTAGTATTTGTGTGTCTAAGACAACCTCTGAGCTACCTATAATAAAAATTAATTTTGAAATGAATTTCAAAGCTTCTTTAAATTTCTGGGTGCACAATATATATTTATGTCGTAAAATATAGGACGGGACGTAAAACTATGAAACTTCACGCGTGATCTCGACAGAGTGTCACAGATTCTGTAACAAGGGAAGTAATTAGTGCTGGTACAATATATCGCGATACATGCCATGAACACATATATCGTGTATGGATATTTGACGATACCTTCCACGAAGAGTGGGGATATTTTATTAGTCGCCGAATGAAACCACAAATTTCTCTTTCTAACTGGACTGAAATTGTTGGTAACTATCTTTTAATACTGTTGACGTTAACCACTACTAACAACTACATTACCCCATATCCCGGTGAACCTAGTACCGCGATACATATCGTATCTTCACTCGTATATCGCGATACGTATCGTATGGTGACCCTTGTACCGCGATACATATCGTATCTTCACCCGTGTATCGCGATACGTATCGTATGGTGACCCTTGTACCGCGATACATATCGTATCTTCACCCGTGTATCGCGATACGTATCGTATGGTGACCCTAGTACCGCGATACATATCGTATCTTCACCCGTGTATCGCGATACGTATCGTATGGTGACCCTTGTATCGCGATACGTATCGTATCTTTGCATTGATTGGCGATAACCAGCACTAGAAATAACTATGAAATTACCTGAAGGATCAGTAATATTAGCCAAGTGATCAATGATGTTGTCTAACACTGTATTGTCAGTCCCGTTGATCTGAAACATGACAATTGAAATATTAACAGCATTTCTTTCGTCTTTATTTTTCTTGTAATTGTCTATTTTTCACATCACAAAGAGCAACGAGTCGTGCGAGCTGAACATGGTAAGGCGAGTAGGATATCTAACATGTTTTTTACGAAAATAATTTTTTTGAATACACATATCAATTCTTTTTTAACAAAAATTTCTTGCAGAAGAACTCTTATCAGACAGTTTATGAGAGGCTTGTGCCAATGGCGCTTCCACAGAGCTATCGCATTTTGAATCTAAATCTCAACAAGTGCCCCCTTTTCTCACCTCGAAGAAGAATCCAAGTACAGCTAGACCTTCTGGTTCGCTGACAGCGGCTCCGAGACTTCCGAGTGAATCTTTAAAGTGAACAAAATGAACCTAAAGTAGAAAGTATAGTCATTATTAAGACGGTTCGTTCTTTAGGTTTCAGATCTCTCTCCACAATCTTTAGAATTCAAATCGTCAGTCAACATCGTACGAGTTTTGTTTGTTTCTACTACGATGATTTGATGTCGATATTGAAATTCGATATGTTGTTGACAATTAGAAGAAGGAAAATTTAACTTACTTCCATTGGATAGGCGTTTCCATTAATAGTATGTTCTGAACCGTTCGTATTTGCAGATCCCCAATGGAAATGGAACTGATCAAGTTTATATTTAGCTGGAAGTCCACCATTTTCTACGTACAGATCACCGTTGAATACTACCTTGGCTGTAAGGAAAATCTGACAATAAACAAGTAGCTTTCACACCATAATTATAATGGCTATTATTTCTAATACCGAAAACTCATGTTTGAAATTGGTTTAGCCAAGCAATTTAAATTCTGAACGCTGTTTCTGGAGACCAACTTGACACCGCGATGTGAAAATCCTAAACGGCTATAGTGCTTATTCGCTTCTTCGCGAATAACGAAAGTGGTCATGAGTACTGAACACAACTCACAACTCAGTTGCCTGAGAGTTGCGTTCGAAATATTTGACCACTTCTTATTCACAAACATCACATCTAGTGATCGGTATGGTGTGAGGACCCCTTTAGTCTGCTTACCAGTGTATCCGGTGTTGCTCATGTTCATTGCAATACTTCCACCATAGCCTGTTAACGTGACGGTTCCGAGATCCTCATTGACTACAACACCTTCAGTTTGTATGTCTATAGGAGACTGAGAGTTCAAACCACATGTTGCGAACGTATCTTTCCAGGTCGCAGCACCATCGTTTTCATAACCCCATGCTTGAAATAGAAAGATAAGGACGTATTTCAAAGGGACAGTTTCGCCATTTTTAAGGGGTTGATTTGGGTCTTGAATATATGTAAAATGTCTTCAGAAATACTAGAAATGCACGAAAATTGCACAATTTCTTCAGAAAAACCTTGAACTAGACATTTCACTTTCTATTTTCTATATATACCAGCAGGGTATCAAGAAAAAACGAGTCACCATTTTAACTTGAATTAGAAAGAAAAATATTCAATAAGGGCGTGTTTTAAAGAGAAATATCAAAAATATTTCAATACTGAAGACATAACATGGTGCTATGAAGGTATAGTAGTATCGAATCAAAACAATAGCTGTGGTCAAAACGGACTTTCCTCGTTATTAAAACGGTACCGAACCCAAAATTTCAAAAGTGTGATGTATTAACTATGACATATTATGAATTTTGGTATAGCATTCAATCCCACAATCTCTCGAATTGAAAAGGGTTAAGGGTGAAAATCTGAGAAATGTGATTTCTGTTATCTCTGTAATTCCTTACTGTCGCTAAAATATTCATTAATAAAAATTACTTACAAGCTGCCGAACTATATCCCAGCATAGACAAAGTCAAAATTAATGTAAAAGCCATTTTGTGATTCCTATAACAATAATTGTGGATATTGGGGAATGCACTAGCTGTCTATAGGTTCTATAGATCCGAGTGACAAATATCTCACATAGTTATCATCGCACTAGTCAGTGCTTATAAAGCCTATTCAGTCACGTGATAATTTTAATCACTATTAGTTACTAGTAAATAACTCTATGGAGATTTGAAAGATTACAAGACAACTAGAGGTGACCACCGCCTAGTTCGGACATTATATAACACTATTATGATTATTTGATGATTATTATTAAAGTAACAGAAGCGCCATTTATTTTGGTTGGGGAAGTGTAGGGGGTTGACTTGGGTCTTGAATATATATAAATAGTCTTCAGAAGAACTAAAAATGAACGAAAATTGCGAAATTCTTTCAAAAATACCCCAAACTAGGGATTCCTCTTTCTATTTCTACATAATTATGTAGTTTCTATATATGGCAGAGTTTCAAGAAAAGACGAGACGTTTTATGAGAGGGATTGTAAAGAGGTTTTCTAAGTTTTTAATGTGTTTCGTGGACCATAACAGCATCAATTTGCACCTTTCCAATTTTCAATCAGAGGATTGTGGTTCCTGCAATACAACTAGAACTAAGTGTATGACGTCACTAATCGCAAAATATCCTTTATCACATAAGGCCCTTCGCAATTAGTTATGTCATCAAACACTGAGTTTTAGTGGAATTACAAGAACCACGGACGTCTGATTGAAAGTTGGAATGGTGAAAATGGGAATGGTGCAAATTGATGCTATCATTGTCTCAGATACACAAAGCCTCTTTACCATCCTTTTAACTTTCAAACGCGGATAATTGGACATACATGGATTTCATGGTTCAAATTGCGACGGTGAACTGTGAACACTATTACTGATAAGTTTAGCTCAAAATTCCCCTTTCTGAGACTAAAGTACGATCGGTCAAACGAATGGCGAACCATGGAATCTCTTAAAGAGAGATTATCCTTACTAATGAAACAATGATATCTGAACCTGCGTCATAGGTAATTACATAAAAGGATAATGCGTAATATGACCGAGATCGATTAATTGACTTAATCTGATTTAATTGGATTGGTCAACAATTATCACAGAGCGTTTCTAAGCAATTGTTTATGGCAGTCGTCACGTGACCTATAGTGACAACGAGCAGATGGTACAAATTACTGATTTAAAATCAGTACCTTAAATTCATTTATTTATAAGGCTGTAAAATTCGTTATTTTAACTCTGATAGCTCTACTCTTTATTCTATAGTTGGACTGACTTGGAACTAGTGAACTCATGAAAATGAGCCAAACTAAATAATCCATAATAATCCATGTTAAAAAGTTATTTTAACGAGTCGTCTTAAAAGAGCCCCCATTTTGAAGAACGGTTAAAGACTTGAGAGAAATAAAAGATAATGATGGCGACGTCATTGGTATGTTCTGCTTTTGGAGAAGCTTGTTAGCCACATTAACTCTGGATTGACCAATTAACACAAAGTAGATTACAGACCACAGATAATGTGGCACCGTTACAAATTGTAAAGCACAGCCACTGGGACAGGGAATGTGACGACATGAAACAGTACATGTCACCCTGAATATGACGACCAAGCATAGATCATTGCCGGCGTGTGAGAAAGTCACACAGCATAGATCACCTGAAGATCATTGCCGGCGTGTGAGAGAGTCACACAGCATAGATCACCAGAAGATCATTGCCGGCGTGTGAGAAAGTCATAGATCACCAGAAGACCATTGCTGGCATGTGAGGAAGTCACACAGCATAGATCAACTGAAGACCATTGCTGGCATGTGAGGAAGTCACACAGCATAGATCACCTGAAGACCATTGCCGGCGTGTGAGGAAGTTACACAACATAGATCACCTGAAGACCATTGCCGGCGTGTGAGGAAGCCACACAGCATAGATCACATGAATACAATTGCCAACAATAACGTAAATCATCGCACAGCCCCAACCACCTGGCCTAGGGGATACAGGGGAAAAATCGATTGCCCCCTCCCTCTCATTCCTGCAACCACATACTATCTAACAATAGTCTGGCTACGGGCCTGTCAACCATAGAGGCCTTGGATTTAACGACTCTTAGAGCAATTGCTACTGTCTAGTAATATAAGAATATTGTAATTATGTACCCAGGCTTTCAGTAGTAATGGAGTGCACATTCTTTCGTTGTAGCTGAAGCATCAACCTTAGACCCCTCAGATAAAAACTGCTACAGTGATATTATTGGAGTTCTATTACAAATTCGCAACTCTCCGTGCCAGCTTGAAGGTGGAGATGTCACACACTGAACGAGGGATGTTTCGTGATTTCCACAAACCGGTAATTGAAGGCTGGATGTACAAGACAATGTACATGCATAATGATAATAAATTGTATATCAGATATAGAAATGTGTTTTATTCACAAATAGCAAAGTCACCAACTGTAACAACTGTGCAAATATAAACAAAGTAATAACACGATCGTACGATTTCTAATACAGATGACAAAACAGATACATATTGCATACATACACACTCGTAATGTCTAGTAATTTGAACGAGAACATTAAATTTTGTAAGAAATAAAAAATATATTGAAAAAAAAGGAAATTTCAAGATTTCAAAATATCAGGAAAACAAAATGAACACAAAGTTGAAATAAACGCGTACAAAAACATGGCATAGGCATAAAGGGAGGTAACTGAATAAAGTCATATTGGGTTCTCATCGGAGTCTTTCTTTGAGATAAGATTTATGGTACCGGTAGTTAGTTTCATACACCATAATGGAAACTAATGCCGGGTATGTAAACTCGTCATGTGTGGTCTCAAGGGACATAATTCAGAGTGAAAAAAAGAACCATATTGACACCAATCGATGCTTTTAAACCATAACCAATGCTTTGAAACCGTAAACGAATGTTGATATCGTAGTAAATGTGTTGATATCGTAACCTATGTGTTGATATCGTAACCGATGTACTGATTTCGTAGCTAAAGTGTTGATATTGTAGCTAATGTGTTGATATCGTAACCAATGTGTTGATATCGCAGCCCATGTGTATTAGCTGTGTATTATGCAATGTCAATTATTCTAATTTTAAACACCGTCTACTTATAAAAACCCACAAATTAAACACAAGATTTATAATAAACATAAAAATCACGTGACACTTTATACAATATAAATATAGTAAGTGACAGAATTTCGGATTATTCATCAACTTAAAAATCATCCAAATAATTTAATCCGAAACTTTTTTTCATTTAAAATTCACAAATATATAATGAGTGATAAAGTTTCGGATTCTCATTATTTGAAAATATAAAATTGAATTAATCCGAATATCTGACTTTTTTCATTTAAAATTCACAAATATATAGTGGATGATAGAAGTTTCTGTACTCCGAATATCTAATATTTGTTTATTTACAATTTTCCTAATATATATTTGAGAAAAGATATCTGCTTACATCCGGAGACAATACAAATCATTTACACAAACAGTCTTCTTTATTTGGGGTGAATACATAGTAATTAAGCTATACAAGATAGATTTACTTTGTGATCAGAAAGAACTGAACTACCTAGAACTGCCCATGTTCATGTTTGGCATTGTTCCCCGGATGTGATGTGCACAAATATTTATACTTATACATTTACAATACAAATGCTGTATAGATTACTACAACTAAATACCGACAATTTCGGATTAATAGTTAAATAATATTAACAACAGAACAATTGGTAATCTGAAATTGTCTGTATGTATCTATGGTACAATTGATTATGTATATTAATATCAAATCACAGCTCAGAGGAACCGCAGTCATCGAGGTTTTTTGCCAGGACATTAACTATCGTAACAGTCATAATACCACCAATATGATTGGTTAATAAATATCAATTTAAAATACATCTTAGAAACCAAACCAATGAAATGAACTAAACGCCGATTTTCAGTTTTTGAGATATAAGTCACAGAAAAAGTAAATGCATCTTCAATCATGTGATCTGATTGGTCAATGGTATTACGATATTAACCAATCAGATCACATGAAATAAAGAGAGTTGTTTGTCCCCGGTTTCCGCCTAATTGAACTAATTATAAACGAATAGCAGCGATAAGGGAGGTAAGCATTAACCCCAATCCTTTCAATGATGATGCACTGTTAACATTGTGACTAGAATATACTTTACGACTGTGTAGCAGTTGAACTGGACGGTAGTTATTCTGTAAATGGACGTGGTTGTTTTGGGCGTCAACTTCAGATGAAAACATTTCTCGGAATTTGGCCATCTAAAAATAAATAGAATCATTACATTTGAATCATCGATATGAAACGTACCAAAATTATGATGTCATTTGTAATAACTGACCTGAACATTTTAATAACGGCGATGTCAGATTTTATATCTGAAGCCCAAATCGCAGACCATCTGCACAATGTCAAAATATTACGAACTTCGTCTTATTGACTGCAATAGCCAACTTTCTTGCGTCACAGATGTTGTGATGCAACGAATTGGTTAGATTGTATTGTATGGAACCGATCAGCGTTCTGGAGAAAGGAAAACACTACACCATCTTTTGTAAATAAGCTAACACCCACACGATTTGAAAGACCATTTACCTGGCTGCTTGAGATTTTAATGGTGTCTTCGAATACAGTCCACACAACAGTTTCAGAGCAAGGTGGGGTGGTCAAACTACCAGAATATCTGTAGAAATTATCCAAATTTTTGGGCAACAAATCTTCAAATTTTTGTGCACTCAAGACAACCTCGGAGTTACCTGCAATAAAACTTATTTTATAAATTTTCAAAATTTGTCAAAAATCTAGACTAAAAAAAACGTTCAGTGATTGGATGAGACAATAAACAGGTACATTAAAGATCCGTTAACAGATGGAAATAAGCAAGAAGGGTAGTATCTCGTCCTTGTAAAATGTACCTATTTGCATGGATGTTCGAAATATGGGACAAATGCCGTCAATTGACATCCTTGGAAAATTGGATCAAACTTTTTATAAGACAAAACATGCAAAAGTGAGTAGTTTTCTGAATGCTAAGATCTATAACCTGAATAACCGTTACACATTTATTCAGATATACTTTAGAAGGCATCATTACAATGTCTAATTTTCAACATTTCTTTGTCCCCGGTGGATTCTGCGGATGCTCTTGCGTGTTTGTCATTGCTCGCTCAATGGAAGACAAGAATAAGAGATTGTGTAACATTAACAAGGGAAATAACTATGAATTCACCTGAAGGATCAGTAATATTAGCCAAATGATCAATGATGTTGTTTAAAACTTTATTGTCAGTCTCGCTGATCTGAAATATAACATTTGATATATTAACATTATTCCTTTGCTTTTCTTATTTCTTGTGAATGTTTATTTATCGCATCAGAAGGTGCAACGGGTAATATACAAATTCAACTCGGCATTCATAAGACATAGGCTAACAACAGTGCGACAGTGGATTTCCCTTTGTTTTGTTACATGCAGTCAAGTGATAGAACCTAAACATTGTTAGCAGCACAGATTATCAATCACATCATGTTCAAGACTAAGGATGATAATATAAAAAAAATTCACATCAAATTAATAACGGACGTCGCTTGTGAATTAAAAGAATAGAGATTAAATTGGTTTAAGATGGCATTTTTACTGGTTGTTCATTGAAAGATCCTTTTGTATACGGGGGACCTGTTTGACTGTATTCATTTACCTCGAAGAAGAATCCAAGTACAGCTAGACCTTCTGGTTCGCTGACAGCCGCTCCGAGACTTCCGAGTGAATCTTTAAAGTGAACAAAATGAACCTAAAGTAGAAAGTACGTTATGTTATGTTATTCTATATGTTGCACTTTGTTTGTTTTTCTCTGTTAAGCTCTGTTATGCTTAGCTATCAAGTAACGTATTGCTGGACTGTAATAACAACACGTGAGAACTTACAAGTACATTTTCTTCAATTTTGACGCACCAAATTTTGTTTCACCATCGGGTGAGCTTCCTTTTGATTTCCAACAACAACAGTATTGAAACAAAATCGTGCAAAGTTTTCCTTTTCTTTATTTGTACTCTTCAGATTTAAAACAATGATAAAATTTAACTTACTTCCATTGGGAAAGCGTTTCCGTTGATAATATGTTCTGAACCTTTAGTATTGTCAGATCCCCAATGGAAATGGAACTGAGCAAGTTTATATTTAGCTGGGAGTCCACCATTTTCTACGTACAGATCACCGTTGAATACCACCTTGGCTGTAAGGAAAATGTAAAAGATTTCATAGACATAAAACAGACTGTAGTTTATACACCATGCTCTTCCTATAGGCACTGATCTTATCGCTGTCATTGAAAACTGTTTCAAATAACATTTATCTGAACTATTATCTAGGACTTCCTAATTTGAAAAGAGATGTCGTGTGGCTCAGTTGCAATCATTGTCACTACTGCGTATCTCCCGTTTATCGCATCAGTAACTTGATGCTACGATACCAAACGCTAATGGCCTTTAGATTACTTACCAGTGTGTCCGTTGTTGCTCATGTTCATTCCAATACTTCCACCATAGCCTGTTAACTTGAAGGTTCCCAGATCGTTTTTGACTACAACACCTTCAGTCTGTATGTCTATAGGTGACTGAGAGTTCAAACCACAAGTGGCGAAGGTATCTTTCCATTTTGCGGCACCATCTTTTTCATAACCCCATACTTGAAAAAGAAAGAACGATAATCAATAATGTTGTATTTAAAAAAAATCGTCATAAATAATAATTCAATAATCTTAGCTAAAAATACATAACCTTGTGATCATAACGGACTCCAAATATGGTCATTACCGATCTTTAAAAAATCAATTTGAAATGAAACATATTCTAATGCATGGAATGCTAAGCAAGATCACACACATTCTCAGACCCTTATGGTAAACCGCTGTTGCTACAGATAGTGATTACAATTATGCAAATTTCATGACCATGGATGACCATGCTACGGATGATGGTTAGAATGATGATCAGGAAGATGTTGATGATTCTGCTGATGATGGTGAATATGATGATCATCGGAGAAGAAAGTGGAGATTGACATGCTGTGGATCAAGGTGATCATGAAGATGTAGCTGCGGATGACAATGGTGATGATGCTGGGACTGATGCCTATCACTATCCACATTCTACTGATCATTATTCATATTTTTACGACAATAATCGACTTAGCCTCTGGAGGATACTATCAAATATTGATTGCAGGATTATACGAACCCATTTTAGAGCCTAGTCAATTGAATACTATCGAAATGTTAATCATTTTGACCGAAGATTCAAGTAGAAAGATGGTGAATATTGCGAAATATCCTTTACTTTATTCTGGACATAAACAACACGAAGACGAGTTAGAATGATACACTCCTCATTTAAAAAATAGTATCTCTGGATTTACTGCATGTTTCTAAATCACGATTCAATTACCCAACACGAACTATCATTGAAATATTTCTAATGTTAAATTATTTCATAAATATTTAACTTAATATTAAATTATGTTAAGAAAATCTGGTGTTTTAAAGGGAACTAGTCGGTATTATTTTAATTAATGTCTTGTTGAAATTGATGAATTCAAATTTTGAGTCCAACTTTTTCTTCACGGAGGTGTTTGAAAATTATTGCATTGTTCCGAAAGGGTTAACATTCACGAGCGACACCTACCACAGAAATTACATTACTGAAATCCTACCCTTAAAACAAGAAGCTTCGTTGGCGAAATGAAAGAAAAAAAAGACAGTTGACAGCAGAATCATAATGGCTTTGCTGCATTGGCTAAATTTCAAACATTTTAGAAATCTGGCTAATAAGGTATTGGTAAAGTATTAGGCAAGTAAAGTATTGGTAAAGTATTAAGCAAGTAAAGTATTAGTAAAGTATTATGCGAGTAAAGTATTATTAAAGTATTATTCAAGTAAAGTATTATGCAAGTAAAGTACTAGTAAAGTATTATGCAAGTATTAGTAAAGTATTATGCAAGTAAAGTATTAGTAAATTATTATTTAAGTAAAGTATTAGTAAAGTATTATGCAAGTAAAGTATTGGTAAAGTATTATGCAAGTAAAGTTTTAGTAAAGTATTATGCAAGTAAAGTGTTAGTAAATTATTATCCTAGTAAAGTATTGGTAAAGTATTATGCAAGTAAAGTATTAGTAAAGTATTATGCAAGTAAAGTTTTAGTAAAGTATTATGCAAGTAAAGTGTTAGTAAATTATTATCCTAGTAAAGTATTAGTAAAGTATTATGCAAGTAAAGTATTAGTAAAGTATTATGCAAGTAAAGTTTTAGTAAAGTATTATGCAAGTAAAGTGTTAGTAAATTATTATCCTAGTAAAGTACCGGCAAAGTATTATGCAAGTAAAGTATTAGTAAAGTATTATGCAAGTAAAGTATTGGTAAAGTATTATGCAAGTAAAGTATTAGTAAATTATTATCCTAGTAAAGTATTAGTAAAGTATTAAGCCGTTATAATCGCTTTAAGCAGAGTTTATATTAGAACTTGAGCCAATTCTAAACAATTTACATTAGACTATAACACGGTTTCCTCGTTTACTCTTTTCACCAGAGCATCGTAAATTATCTTCTACAACTTTTAACATTAGTTTTAATTAAAACCCAGACCCCTTGTCTTGATATGGCATCACAGACACTTAATGATTGGAATAACAGCTCGGTTTTAACAGTTCTGGATCATGTTCCACAAAGATAAGAATTAAGTCGTAAATGTGAAATAATACATTGAGAAATGCTATACTTGCGACACAATTGATTGCAAATATTTTTGGGGCCCTGCTCCTTACAATGAGGTAAACTGTAGCTTGTTATGGAAAGAAACTCCTAAGCATTATCAATTGTATTGCAATCAAACAGAAAATGTTTTTCTGTTTTTTAAGATTCCATTTACTATGGACATTCATTGTGAAGTGTGTGATTCATACATAACAGTAAATTCAGATCATAATGACATTTTGAATTTTTTATTACAAACATTGCTTTTAAATATTGAAACATGCAGATTAAAAATGATTTTGATCTAGAATTAATTAGCATATATCATTAATATTAATTAGCATATATCATGAATATTAAGTTCATTAATCATGAATATTAAGTCTTATTAATCAGTGTTTTCATCTGATTATTTTTCTATTTTCTTATCATTTCATCAAAATATAGAATCTTGAAATCTCTGTTGTACATATAGATTAACAATTATCAGATCGATCGTCAAAACTTGCGATCCAGCCAAAGATTTAATCTTTATCAGAAATGGATTTTTACGTTTTATAATTCCGCATCTGCTTGGCAAATGAAGACGGGAAACGCCATGCAGTGTGCAATGAGGCAACTTTTGCCAGGACAGTTGAATTAATCTGCTCTTTTTTCGATTTCGAACTGTGGAGTCCCTTGATGTATTGTTCCATCCGAGCTATTGGAAGTTTTTTTTTTCATGCCCGCCACTCCAACCTGCATCACTGACAGGGAAATATCAAAAGTCATTATTTCGACCTATGCCGAATTCGAACCCTGAGCCCTCGGGTTAGCCAGCAAGCAACAGCAGTGGGTCGCCAGAAGACGGGTTATTTCCCCAGTCCATGGCCAGGATTACGTCCGAATTGCACGAACTTGTCTGAATTGCACGAATTTCTAACCATTTATGAGAGTTTTGCCCAAAAAACTAGCTTTCGGGGCTGCGAGGGGGCGGCTGCCCTCTCTGTCTCTCCTTTGGCTCCGCCACTGCCCTAGTCGAATGGTCAGATTGACATAAATAGGTGGCAGTGACACTTTATAGCTGCTGTAAGGAATTTATTCGATTTTAAACTATTCATTCATTGTGATAAATAAATAATATCAAAATCTCAATATCGAACATGTTTCCATCGTTACAAGTTTTTTTGTAATCATGAGTACAGTCGGGTACAATATTTATATAATGAGGACATATGTACTTACACAAAACATTTAGAATATCTCATGTTCGTAGGGCAGAACAAACTCAATCATGACTTCATTACTCAGTTCAATATCGCTATTTCTATAAACTGTAATTGCCCTCATTACAAAAGAAGGAGATGTTCCCTCGTGATCTGAGGCCCTATAAATACTCAGAAATAATTTACAGGTATTTGAACTCTCCTACCAATACAACACCCGAATCTGTGTGAACCAAAGTATCAAAATAATGTCCTTTATTAAAGCATTCATAATGATAATAAACTATTTATTTTAAACGAGTCAGAATTAGACCCAATTCATGGTCCTGTCTAACATTCAGACCATGGTGACAATATAATAAATGATTGCAAAAAATCGTAATATATGAAATATTAAGTATTTCTCGTATTATATAGCATGGTATTTGCGAGAAAGCAACCCATGATACAAACACGTGTTTCAGATAAACAACCCATATCAGGATATCTTGCTTTTGAGAAGTTGTATTGCATCATCTGGAGTTTGATTAATATATAGACTGTACATTAGATCGGGTGTAGTTAGTTTATCTGTATGTCCTAAACCTGGCCTGTGGCAGTGTCACTGCTATCGATAGTCTTGTCATTGGTATAGGTCATCCTTAATAGGAATTAGACGGAGGGTGATTAATTTAAAGGCCTGGCTTATGCTTCTGATTAGATCGGAAGTAGTCAGTTTATCTGGCTACCTGTGACAGTGACAGTGTCACCGCCAATGACCTGCTGTCGATTGTGGTATCATGATTGTCATTGGTGTAGGTCATCTTAAATAGAGTTATGGTGACTTTATCACCAGCTATATCTGATACGTCTAATAATCGTGTCCAATCTTAATTAAATTAAATGAAATGAAGTTTTATATCCTAATGATATCCAGTTAAGAGAGAACAGCCTCGATCCTCATGTATTTAGTAAGCTTAAATCAAAATTTTCTTGAAATTTTATTGGCATATTGGGAATTATGATACTAACAGTTTAACATAACGATTATAATCTCAAAAGAATTACATATTGAAAAACAACGTGATCTAGAACATAGTAACGAACCATAATACGTTACAAAGATAGATCATGTATAACACTGTAGGTTGATGTAGGAAAGGTGAAATGGTCATGCTTTCGGCTCTCGAGCAAGGACCGTCCATGAGTAAAAAAACATACGAAAAAAACATCGTTAATCTCCTGCTGCGACCCTAAACTGTCCGGATAATCCTTGTAATTGAGATATAAAAACCTTAAACGAGTTTAGTCGCGTAACCCATCTCTTAAGTGGTAAATAAGATTTAATAATAAGTAGACAAACGACATGTACCTATCCAAATCTTCATCTATAAGAAAAGACCGGACGCTGACAAAATTTAATTAAAGAGACCTCAATAAGTCTAAAAGCTACCCTGGGTCATTGAAGATAAAAATGAGTGACAAAGTCAGGGGTCTACCAAAAGAGTATGCGCTTTTTATTCAAAGCACTGCAATTGTGGCTTCCGAAATCAAATCTTATATGTATAAGAAACCTGGTTAGTATGTAATCTATAAGAAATAATCTACCTCGCAACCGGAAGTGGCGAAAGTTTCAGTAGTCTCCCTTTTTAGAACGGTTTGACGTTTAACGTCGCCTTTGTAAGCTTTTCGGGAGTTCTATTCTAATAAGAAGACACGAACTCCATCCCAAACATCAATGATTGTCGAATAATCA